AGATTACCCTTTCGTCGTAACAAGGTGCTAAGGCTGTTTTAATGACCATGCAACACAAACGACTTTATTACAGAAATATGTTGGTGAGATCAGGAACAAGAAAAAGTGTAACTTTTGTGCTTGTAGGTATTTCTCGTTCTACTGATAAAAAAATAGACTAGCAATTAATAGGTCCTCATTTTAGCTCGCGGGTGGCATACAATGGAGCAGGAAGATATCTGTTCAAACACACAAAGCTTTTCGATATTCAATATAAGATAATAGGGAATATAATGCCTATACAAAATAAGGACGTGAATGAATATTTCAGCTTCATCGTTTTGGCATATAGTTAGTTGTTTAATGTCAACCCTTAATCAGTCAACTTGGGTTGCTACATGACTACTACTGCATGGGCCAGTTCACGACATACAATCAACTGATGTGCGTCGGCCACCCTTGTCCTTGAAGAGAATCGGTGAACTGTTCGACGTTGAGTGACCCAACTGCCGGATGATTTGCCTAGGGCCCAGTTATTTTGCACTGACCGTACAACATCTTTGGTGGCAATCGTTGTTGCCGGAATAACCCAAAACAATCCTAGTGAATCTTCATTCGATACTCTCAATTTTCACCAAATTATTATGCCTCCAATAACTGTCAACTAGAATACTATATTCAAGGAGGGGCATGATACATTCTTCTAAGCAATAATAGTCTTCATTCGGTTTTAGTTGTAGCGGTAAATAAATCCCTAAAATAAATATCTCTGTAAGTCTTCGACATTGGATGCTGAACACATTAGTTTTAATGGGCTCACCTAGCTGAAGGCGCTCGGTCATGCATCCGCACAAGGTCAAGAGTGGGAACGCCGTGCTCAGTAACCTCTGCAATCGCTAGTCAGATTAGATCAGACGATCCTCGATATATTGATAGCCTAACAAATATATCTTCAAACTTCCTCTCTTCCGTCTTTTGATTTCACTTGGTGGGTACGATTCATGTTAGGTGTTACTGGTTAAAGCGTTATCAAACTCCGAATACCTGTGGCATCTTCATAGTGAAATTTATTATTATGAATCTAATTAGCTTACTGGCTTTGGATACTTGGGGTGCACCAACTTTTCCACACGTTTCGCTCCCTTATGCAACTGAATTGACAAGAAGGTAATCTGAATTCGACAGACCTGTACAGTGCCGGTCTACATATGCCTCAAGAGGGATGCATTATTGATGAAACAAGGAGTAGAGGGCAATAGCTCGGATAAACAGCATATTTGACAATAGCTGGTAGTGGCGGAACGTCGGTCTTCCAGGGCTACTAAGTAGTGAGGCATCTCACGCAAGCTACATCAGAATATGTTCACTGCTCTCTGTTGTTCGTCCACAGTCACAAGTGTCCGTTAAAAGTGACTAGGTGAATATCAATGCCAAAATGCTTATTATCCTGTGAGTTACTCTTAGTTAGTCATTTTGTATGTAACCTGGAGAACTACCTAAAATGTTATTTTCACCTTGCTGATTTCCTACTCTGATGTTTCTCGTTCTCTACAACCTAACTGTAAAACAACTGATTCCACTTTTTCTTATTTGGTTTAATTTTATCATTTTATTGAATGTACAGACGCATACAATCTGGAGTCAGTGGAATCTGCCATCAGAAATGTACTGCCCGAAGAGTTTAGAGGGGTATATATCACGAAATTAATTGGACTCAGTAAATGGGTTGAAGTCGGTACTAGGGAATTTCGATGAAAGAGACGAAACTCGTAATTCAAATATTTGTATTCGACCAAATTAGCTGCTTGAGGGTCAAATGAAATGGAAGAATGTCCTTATGGAGTTAAAACCTCGAAAGCAAAATGACTAAACGAACCTTACGATTAAGGGCATTGGGGTGGTAACTTCTTGGAAGCCAATGTCAATTAAATCACGGTATCATTGTTGTGGCAGAAACTTGGCTCATCGTAGATAGCCTGTATTCTCATCACTGCAGGTTACATCAGTAATTAGAAGTGATAGAGTTATAAGTCGCAAGAGAGGAAGCATACTATCATAGGTTGGGGATCCCTTTCGTATACAATCAGTCATGTCAGATGTGCATGTCAGGTAGTGTGTTGTACAATTAAGTCTAGAAACGGGTTAGTGGCTATAGGAGGAATATACCGTGATCTGTGTTGTCTTGCTGAGGACTGTATTTTAAGACATATCTGTTTTTGGGTAAGGCCAAATTTTGTCTCACCATTGGAGATTTCAACGCACCTCATATCAAATGCGCGGTGCTTACAGATTCAGGTGGAGATTTTGATAGAAACCTTCTATCAACTATTATTCAGTGTACACTTGTACAATGTATCGCAAAACCGACACACTTTGGCTTGGACCTTCATTGTTGGACCGCGTCCTCACACGGCACTGTGAGGATTTCATCTACATTCAGCGCCTTCCACCACTAGACAATAATTGTCATGTGACGCTTTAATTTAAGTTTTGGACACACTGTGTACAATATATATCTGCTACAGCCCGCCCCCAATTCTGGAGAGCCAATATACCGGCAATAGTAGACTGCTATTCCTCCAGTCGGTTGATGAGGATGCATCGATCGAAGACGAATGTGTTGTGACTTTATGGCCCGCTAGCTATCACGCGATCTATTCGCCAATCAAGATACGACTTATTCGCCCTTATACTGTACTAAACCAATGACGTCCGACTGGTCTGATCAGCCTGGCATACGTTGCTTGCCTAGCACGTCCAGCTGAGTCCAGAGCGCCAACAACAGCTGCCACTATGAGAATCATTTAGTTCAGGCATACTGGGTTTATATGCTAACCAAACAGACTGCAACGCAACATAAAATAGGTAATAACATTCACAAGTAAGCCAGAAAGTGCATGAGAGCGTCGGAGATGGTAGTTATTAAACTGAGTATAACGTATGAACGGTAAATCGTACAATAATAATCTATAGGTCGAAACGAAGCTTATAATAAGGGGAAGATAGATATACATAATCTAGTTACTGAATATTTTTGCCATAAGAATATATAGATAATATTAGTCTATCAGTAGGTCTCGGAGGTTACTCGTAACTTAATCTTTGCTGGGATATAACAGAATGGAATAAGTTTAAGTCTGAATTCGAGTCCGTAACGTCGCCGTTTATATCAATTCCAAGATACAGACCATCAAATTGCTCTCTATGGTATAATAAAGAAACCCTAAAGCTGTTGAAGCACAGGAAACACTCCTCACGCTTATTCTTTTCAACAGGACATGAATCATTTATGCGTGAAAGCCGAAAAATTCGGAATATATGTAAAATAGCATAGCTAGATGCCGTATTATCAACGATAGTTGGCATATGATAGCCTTACTTTTCCGAAGTGGTTGTTTTCGTACGTTAACCAGAGAACAAAACGTAGTGATGACATTCACCCATCGCTGTTACACGGAAATTCAAATGTACTAGCTGAATCACGTCTGACGAAATCTGAGACTTTATCAACTTGTTTTACCGAAGTCTACTCTACATGTATTGTTAAAAATACTTGTCCTTATCACACCGCAGATATACCAGCTATCGGACCTGTACATGTGACTGAGGTAACTGTTTTTCTATTGATCACCTGATGAATTTCATCCACGACTGCTGTTATCTCTTGCTAACATTATTTCAAAACTATTTTCAATGTTCTCTGAATTGTCCCTTTCACACATTCAACTCTCTAGAGATTGGAAAGCTGCTATCGCCAGTCCTATATTTAAAGACAGTCAGAGACAGATCGCATCCATATACCAACCCATCAGTCTAACTGGCATAGTTGTAGCCACATAGATTCATGCAATCTGTTAACTCCCGAGCCACATGGGTTTCAAAACAAGCATTCATGCCTGACTAACTTATTGCGAGAGAGGATTGGACAGCAGCATCAGATAACGATCTGCCTGCTGATATGATATTCGTAGACTTTACCAAAGCGTTTGACAAGGTTTCACACTAAAGTTTATGCATAAGCTCTCGAGCTTTGGAATTACAGGTGTAGTACTGGAGTAGGTAGGAAACTTCTTGTATGGCCGCATATAGAGATAGAGGATTATTCCAAGGTACCATCTGAAGTCCCTTGCTTCTCCTCCCATACGTCAATGAATTACCACTTTTGTCTAAGTCGTCAACATTACTGTTTTCGGATGATGTCAAAATCTGAAAAACAACAAGAAGTGAGACTGATCATTTTGATCATCAAGCTGACCTAGACGAATCAGTTAGATGGGTTTGAGGTTGGGCTTGGACGCTAATTCTAGACAGAGTGTGTTCATGCACATCGGACACATATTAGTTACCAGTATACTATTAATGATACATCTTTACCGAGTTCAGGAACGTGAAGACTTAGGAGCAATAACAGGTCACGACATGAAAACAACTATACATTACAACTCAACAACCGACAAAGGGATTCGTGAGTCTTGGTCACTTATCTCAGCATACAGATGCGTCGATATGTCTCGAATTGTATATCCCACCTACTTACGACCACCTCTATCCGAACAGCTGGTCCGTGTCTGAATATGTATACTAACTCACTTCAGCGTATTCAGCATGTGAGAACAAATTTAGTGAGTGGTCTTTCAAAAATCCCTTAGTATGAATGTTCAAAACACCTAAACCCCTTTCGCCGTGTCTTATTGTGGGACGCCAGGTGACCTTATATTGGCATTCCGTATCGTTAATTATGATTTAGGTGTTAAACTTTCCCACCTATTTGCTGCTTATGACACTGATAATCCCTGAGTTCATATCAAGAAGGTTCACAAATCGCGATCTAAGAAATCTAAAGTAGGTGTTAGTTTCTTATCATCTAGTGGTTAATTACTGAAACGCCTTACCCGAACAAGTGGTATCAGCCCTATCAGTGAATATTTTCAAGGAGAAGCTGAACCTCCACTGGTAGGCAAACTGTCAGGATAAACACAGGTACACCAATCCTCATTACTGAATACAATGAAGATGGCACAGGTATTCAGTGTTTGACAACGCTTTTACCAGCGACAACATGTCACTTTGAAAATGTCACGGGAACCATTATTGAAGACTAAGGGAAAGAATTCATGTACGAAGAAAAAATTCAATCTTTCTTTCCATGTATATGCTTGTCTGATTAAATAAACGTTATTCAGCGAAACATACTTGTTTTTCTAGCTTGTTTCATAGCTTATAATTTCGAGTGGCAAATGAAAAGGAACGCGTTGCTCTATTGGTTTCTGTGGTTTCTCATTGTCAATGTCTTTGTCGATGAAGCACAAATAAACACTATCTCTTCAGTTACAAAAGTACTCGAAGCTTTTGAAAGTGGAGTTGATCCGGAAGTTTATCAAAACATAGTGTGTTAAATTTACTTCATTTTCTTAATTTTCAATGGATATTTTTAGACAGAAGTAATATTCTCTAAAGGCTACACATCCGAAGAACACTATGTTACTACCGAAGATGGTTTTATTTTGTGTATTATAAGAATTTTACCGAAGTGTCACGTGGCTTCAGGTTTGTAGTGTGGGTAAAGTGCTTTTATTCCTAATCCATTTAGGAAGACAAAAAGTTGTATTCCTTCAACATGGCCTTTTAGATTCTGCTCATACTTGGGTTAACAATTTGCCAGACGAAAGTTTAGGATTTATACTTGCTGATAATTGCTATGATGTGTGGCTTGGTAATAGTCGTGGGAGCACCTATTCATCAAATCATCAGTATTTAAAACCCGATGACAAAGAGTTCTGGGAGTTCTCTTGGGACGAAATGGGCAAATACGACCTACCGGCAACACTGATGTACATTCTTAATTACACTAATGCTGAAAAACTGAGCTACATTGGTCATTCACAGGTCAGTGTGTGCTGGAATACCTTTGGTCTAAATTATCATCCCACCTTCCACAGAAATATTTTAAATTAATTGTTTAATGTATGGACAAAATCTTATTTCTTGTGATTTAGTGGCCAAATAGGACTGTTTACAGTAGTAATATCTAACCATATTCTTCGACATCCATCACTGACTCAGTTATGATATCATCTTGCAGATTTAGACTTGTAGACGTTTATTATTTTCTTCACGTGAATAAGACATCTTTCATTGTCTCACAGAAAAAGACGTCATTTGTTCATTAATAGTTTGTTCAATCCAGCTATCTGTTGCTCAAACTGCCAACCGGCTGAATGATTATTGATGTTATATAAAAACTATTTTGGTTTAAAATGAAGATATCTCAGCCAACACGACCTTTTGAAAACATTAAATTAGAGAGCTGTAACCAAGTAATTAAACAAAGAATATCACTTGCTAAATGAATTGTTTCAGTATTTTTGAACACATTTTTCCTGTCTTTCTGGGTGACAAAAATAAGATTCAGATTTGTGTAGTAAGGACAGAAGGCCTATGGCCTATGTCATTCCTTTTCTAGTATGCTTCTGTGAGTGTCCAGTCTCCTCTTGAAAGAGTCAATTGAAGGTGAGGAAACCACTGCTTCAGGCATCATGTTCCAAGTATTGATGACGCGGTGTGAAAACCTGTATGCCACGGGTATTTTGTTCGTTCTTGACTTTTCTACTCGCCAGCTATGTCCTCTAAGGTGTCCCGATCTAGTGAGAAGAAAGAGAGAGAATAAGTTAGGTCCGAAATCATTTCTCATCATTCTGTACATCAAAATTAGATCTCCCCTTAGTCTGTGTTAGGACAGAGTAAAGAGGTCCAGTTTTTCAAGCCGCTCTTTCTATGATAAACCCCGGAGTTCCGGAATTGCACGGGTAGTTGCCCTCTGTACTTTTTCTAGTATGTCCGAGTCACCTTTTAAACAGGGGCTTGCAGCCTGAGCGAAGTTCTCTAGCTTAGTAGTATCTAACTTAGTGAATGTCCTTTTTTAAGCCCAGAGGGTTCGAAACCCCTTGGCTGCTACCTCCCGGCAATGGACTGTCGTCTTAAGATCATTACTCACTTTCACCCCTAGGTCCTTATGAGACCGGACTACGGGTAATGACACATCCCCTATGTTGTACTTATTAAACTTTGAATTCCTCAAGTGCATGTAGACACACTTTTCCGCGTTGATAGGCATCAGCCACTCTTTAGACCAGTTTATCATATTATTTAAGTCTACCTGAAGAGTAAATACGTCTTTGTCTCCAGTTATTACTCGCCAAATTTTTACATCGTCAGCGTATAATAACATTGAAGACTGTACTATACTTGTAAGATCATTAACGCACATTATAAAAAGTAAAGGACCTAGGATGGAACCTTGGGGTACTCCACTAAGTACTGGTCTCCAGATGGAGCACTTGGAATTTATTCTTACTTTTTGTCTACGACCTACTAGGAAATCTTTAATCCATTTTAAAAGAGGTCCGGCAATACCAAGGTTTTCCAACTTCAATAGCAGTCTATTAGTTGGCACCTTGTAAAAAGCCTTACTGAAATCTATGTAGACAACATCCACTGAGTTTCCGTTGTCTAGCGCATTAATCCAGAACTCCCTTGCTATAAGGAGGTTCGTTATACGGGATAGACGTTTTCTAAAACCATGTTCTATGTTTAGCAAGTTACTGGTTTCCATAAATGTCGTTATGGTCCGTTTGATTATTCCTTCCAGTATTTTAATAACAACAATAGTGAGGCTTACGGGTCTGTAATTCGATGGAACTTGTCGTGGACCTGTTTTATGTATGAGAGTGACGATTGCGTCCTTCCAGTCCGTAGGTAACACACCTTGATCAAGTGACATATTGAATATCACAGTCAGTGGGGCCGCGATATATTGGGTAATATGTCTCAAGATTTTGGGATGCAGTTCATCTGATCCTGTTGACTTCTTCATGTTTAGGGTGCTAAGAGCCTTAAGCACATCGTTTTGGTCGAAGTCCACGGTGAGCAGATGGTTTGTTGACTCTGTATTTGGGTCTGGTTCTTTCTCTAGAGGAGGTTCCTCAGTGAAAACTGCCCCAAAATAGTCAGCCATAACCTCTGCTTTTTCTTGATCTTTCTCTATCATTTCAGATTCACTTCCTACTTTAATTAGGTTGAGAATCCAATGATGCATCCTTGTTCTGTAGTTAATGTGCGAGAATATCCTCTTGAGCTGCTTCAGTGCAGATTGTGCCAGCTGCATTTCATATTTTCTTTGATCTTCCCGAATTTTAGTTATACACTCGTTTCTTATCGATCTGTAGCGTTCCATTGTACCTGCTGTTCCAATGTGGATGGCAACGTCCCAGCATTTCTTCTTTCGTCTTAATAAACGTCGAGTATCCCGCCCTATTCAGGGATGTCCGTGCTTATTTTTCTTTGGGACAGTCCAGGATATGTATGGTTGAGTTACCCGATTGTATAACTGCCTGAATAGAGTCCATGCCTCTTGTACTGATGCCTTTGAGTCGATTTCTCAGTTTTCAGCCGATGCTGCGGAGTTAATTGCCTGCATATCTGCCTTCCATATGTTGGGACGGGTCGGTGCAACTGTTTGACAGGCAATCTCAGCCATGAATTTAAGTAAGATGACTGCATGGTCACTTCTCCCAAGCGATGGGAAAAAAGCCATTTGACCAAAGTCATCACTGTGTGTGAAGACTAAATCTAAAAGAGAGGAAGAGTTTCTTAAGTCGTATCTTATGGCATCTCTAATGTGTTGGAATAATGCTAATCCAATTGAGATTTCTAGCAGTTTGCAGTCTAACGACGATATGGATGACCCTAATTCTAAGTTAACCCAATTTATATGTGGTGCATTAAAGTCGCCTACTACAAGACGTTTACCCTTTGTTACACCAGGACTTAAGTTTACTTGGGATCAAATCATCTGCTACACATTCTGGACTGCGATATACTACTACTAACTCAATATCTTGCCGTCGGCATTTAAACTTACATCTCACCAGTTCACATGTCCCTGAAACATGTGCTACTGTCTCAGCTAATCTTATGGTTAGGGTACTTTTCGTGTACAGAATAACCCCACCTCCCCTTCGGTTTAATCTATCAGCCCTACTGGTTATGTAACCAGTCAACTGGATTTCACTATCTAATACTTCTGACGTTAATTAAGTTTCCGAAACAGCAACAACGTCCGGTTTTTCTTTATCCACCACTGACTTGAGCTCCGCCATTTTATTTAATAGGCTGCGAGCATTTGTGTAGCATACCTTTAAGTCTGTGGAGAGCTTTCCCTTGCCACCCGCAGTGGATTGGGCATCGTTTTGCTCCGAACTTTTACAACTTGAAAACCCTTAAGAACAAGGTTCCGTTTTGGCGACGTTCACTTATTTCCGCTTCTGCAGCTCGTCTCTTAATACGATCAGCTAGGCTGAGATCCTCGCGGACATATATTCCGGATCCTATCAGTCTACGTGAATTACTAAGAATCAGGTTTTTTTCTTCCACCGTGTTGAATGTAACCTTCAGGAGGCAGTTTTTCGGAGGACTTTCGGAGTCCACCTTTTTTCCTATTCTATAAAGCTTACTGACTCCTGGAACTGTATCTGGGAGTAGTTTACATAATGATGTCTTAATATGATTGAGATCGTGTTCAAATCTCGCCTTTTGTTCTTTATCTGAAGATTCTCTTATGAAAAATGACTGATCTCTCAGAGAGATTTGTCTTGTCACACAGTGAGGATTTTTCTTCTGATAACATCCCTTCCAATGCCTTGCTGACCAGCTATGTTTTGCTCACAGCCTTTTCTTCCCATTTCTTTTTCTCCTTACTGAAGTCCATTTGTCACCACTCAGGACAGCCACACCTGGACTGCGTGGAACGGTGACAGTTTTATCCGGATCTTCTATTTCGAATAGAGGTGTATGACTGCCGATGTCAATATCAAGTGGCACTTCATTCCTCGTTAATGTCAACGGAGATTTCACGTTCCCGTCAACCACTGTCAGGTGTTTAACGGGTCCAGTAGCAGTACTTACTACACTGACGCATTCTTCTCCGTCAGCGCTCTTGTTATCATTGCTTTGCCATCGTTTTTCTTGCAGGCCAAAGCCAATAGGCCCATAACCTCCTGAATTAGTACACTGCCGTACAGCAGAACATACAAAGCCAATGCGAATTAGGCTTCGAGCATCTTTTGTAAGCCGTCGGAATTAGGTGTGTACACATTTTTTGGTACCACTTTTTACACTCGTCACATTGCATTCCCTCCTCCACGGGGAACAAACAATTTGGTTGCCCACATTTGTGAGTCTTACCAACCATTTAAATTCGATTTAAAAGGTTTAAAAACACAAAATGATCACAATATGAACACAAGTGTTAGTCAAAAGTAAAAAAGGTACCCAGGACAAAATTTAGCAAAAAATTTCAAATGTTAACCAAAGTACTTTTAGTTAAAGTAGACCAAGAATGCTTTTGGGTGCAATAAGTACCCAAAGCAAGTATAATCACAACAAGTACAAAAATCACTTCCATTTTTGAAAGGGTCATGACAAATTCAAAATTATCATTAAAAAAGTTGAAGATAGTAATCAGGTCACATCTAGTCGTTCTGCGTGATATTGGGAAATAGATTTTGTCTTTCTGGTTCGTAATTACCAAAAAATGTTTGAGGTTTTAAGAATCAAAATATTTACGGTCCTTTTGACATTTTTAAACGACACAAACCATAGGGAGGGATAGTAGACTGTAGAGAAAAGTTTTCGGCTTTTAAGAATAAACGAGCTTTCTCTTTCCATTATTGAATGACTCGAGAAAAAATAGTTTGTTCTGAAACAGTGCTGCTTCTCAGAATGTATTGACTTATAAGTACACAAACAATTTTTCACAATCATTATTTCATTGGGTTGAGACGACCGTGCTAGTCAGTATTACGGGACAGATGATTTCACTTTTTGTT